AAGATCAGATCACTTTATTAGCCATATACAATTTCTTGCATTAGGAATTAGTCTTTTCGCTTACCCCAGCTTGCTCTCCATCAGACACACAGACAGGGAGAGAAGCTTGGGGTCAGAGTGCAGGGTCAGCCATTGTACAGCGCCCCTGGAGCAGTTGGGGTAAGGGGCCTTGCTCAGGGGCCCAACAGAGTAGGAGTCCTCTGCCAGCAGCAGAACCGGCAACCTTCCAGCCACAGGTGCAGATCCTTAGCCGCAACTCCGCCCAACAGACATTGGCAGCCAAGAACAATAGTGTAATTATAACCTCAGGTCCTGCCCACATGTCACCTGCATCACCTAGCACTGCACAGGTGAATGGAAGACGATTTTTCCCCAATCGTGACAACTAAATTCATCACAGAACAAACAGACACTTTTCTGGGAAGACAGACATGGAGTGACTCTAGTCTCTCTTATACAATTTACTGTATCTGACAGCCTAACCTACCTCATGCAGTAGATACGCCTTTCACATGAATCTTTTATTTCTAGATTTTCCGCCTTACGTTCCAATTCAGATTTGTTGTGCAACTACAGTAATTAAAAGTAATCTCAAAATTCTGGCTTGCTGTCAATGCTAAAATTGATATCTGCCATATTAATTACTGTGGAAACACACAAAGGCTTGCCACGAAGTACAGAGAAAAGCACATTAGCGTTTTGCTGAGACCACTGGTGAAGCATTATTTCCTCTGCTGTGTGACATATTTCTTCAAGCATTTTCTTCACAGTGTTATTGGAGCAGTCAGGTTCGCTGGAACTATTAGTGTGGCTGATCAAAGCAGAAATGCACACAGGACACATAGTGTAATTGGATGTGCATAGGGACAGATGAAAACAACATTTAAGCAGACAATGTAAAACAAGTCTTAACGTTAGAGCAACAATCTATAGTTGTACTTTTTACCCAGCATTTTAAGTACAGGCTGGTTGTACTCAATTTCCTTTTAACAATACGTCTCTTTCTATGGACTTTATATTCTGTCATTAGTGTTGCTCAGTCTCTGTCCTCCAGTCTTAACGCTGTCCGTAGGCACAGCACTTACCTGGCTGTGTCAGTGGTGCTCTCATTGGTGCCAAGGTGAATATCTTGTGAGGTGAGGAAGCAGGGATGCCCTCCCAGCAGTGCAAAGCCTTCATTCGCACAGGGAACAAATGAAGATCTTAGTGAATACATCCTAGCAAACCACTCAACACCAAGTCCCCAAGTAAGTTTTGCTCTTTATTCAACAGCTGTGTACATTATAGATAAGAGCATCAAAAGTTGCTTAGCACTTTATGAATGCTCTGAATGTATGGTGTTAGAAAAATAAAAATATATACAGTATGGATTTCAGGCATTGATTAAATGCATAATGTGGATTAATTGAACATCAATGACAACTCATGATGCAATTCAGTGACTGCACCTGTTGTATAAGACCTAGTTATGGCCGCAGTTGTGAGAAACGAACCCGCACCCACCAGACCCGATATAAAATCTTTTTTTTTAACCCGAGCCCACCCGACCTGCGAGTGTGAGTCAACCCACGCATCACTAATAAGCACTAAATCACCTCATTTGTGAGAGAGTGGATTGGGCAGTAATAGTGAGGCAATTAAACCTGTTGAATGTCAAGCCTGGTGAAAACAAATTGAAATGAATTAATCGAACACACTTATCAAGAGACCAAGGCCTTTGCGCTATTGGTATGTCAATATGTTACCTTAGGTGTCCCTTCTGCAGTGGGATCAATTTTTCTTTATCAATGAATTAAAAAAGTTATGCCTATACAACCCTGATGGGCAGAAT